CTTCAACTGGGCAAGCCGAAGGAGCTGATTCTGATGTATATTTAAAGCCAGTAGCAATCTTCCCGGATCCTTTCAGGCTAGGGGCCAATAAACTCGTACTTTGTGAAACTTTGGACAACAAGAGAAAACCTACAGGTCAGTGATTATCATATTTAAACCAGCAAATCACTGAGTCAAAATTCAATATTGGATTGTAGTATGTATAGCGTATGTTGAAGTGTTTATGTTAAGCTAAAAGGGACTACAATCTTATGTAGTTTGGGACTTTAAATGAATAGAAGAGGAAAGATGAAATTAAGATTTTTAATGAAAAACCCTAGTAAAGTATATGATTTGCTACAAAATCTACGCTTACTAAATTTGAACAGAAAAAAACCTGGTAGAGAATTTTCCAAAGGACTCCGGAATTTATTGCATGTGCAACTCGTTTTCACATCTCAGTCTAAGAATTTTCAAGTGGTAAGGTGATGAAATGTACTTGCTTTTTCCCTACATTGCTGTCCTTCTTTTGCCGACTTCTTCATCTCCTTCTTTTCCTTCTTCTCTTATAAGTAGCAAGTGTTTATGACAACGCACTAATTGCCAATCTCGTCGAGCATTCTCTCCTTCCAACATTAGAGCGGAGGACAGAGAAAACCGTATTACTTCAAAGTAATCGATCACTAATTAGTTTTGACAGCATTTGACTATGAGAAATATTCATATTTCTCCTCTTAACAGCCACGGAATGACCTTCGATGACAGCATCTCGATCTTGTGGGCTAAATAGAGCAATTACTTACACGTGAATAATCTGTGGTTAGACTTGGACTAAAACTTGATTTGTGATTGAGATTGTTTGCTTGACTTGATTGACTTCCCGCAGGAGAAGAAAACAACAATAGCAAAAGTTATGGAGAATGATTTGTAAAGTTATGTTTTTTGCAAACGTGCATTACAGTGACTGGTAACTCCAACAAACGTTCGAAAAAAATAAACGTTAGGAACACTGCACGATTCAAGCACATGAATTACTTCACAACAAGTTGGATTGCAACTGCTAATGCTTTTTCTAGAACAAAAAATAATTTTCTAATTTTATCTCGGGCACACTGCTCTGTTTGGACTAAAAATGATCCATGACAATCGCGTGAATTCTTAAAACTGTAACTAAAACCCTCGTTTTGGCTCGTAGTAATCGCATAAACGAATTTTTTAAAATTCATTTATTCAAATCATTCATTTCAGTTATTATCATTATTCATTCATTTATTTGAATAATTGCATCTGCTATTGAAAGAGTAACATATTTTCATATATAGCTACTTCCAATTCCCTTAGACTGTCAAAAACCATTAAATTTGTTTTTATTTACTGGGTCAAAAAGAGGAGCGGTCTAATCCCCCTTTCGCCACGTCCCTTTAGAACAGTACTCCTCCATTCCCTCCGTGAAATCACTAACGTGATTGCAAGATAGCCAGCAAGATCTCCTTGATTTACTTTTAGTTAAGGCTGCTAATAAATTTTACACAGGTAGTCGTAAGCTTTCGCAGAATAAAAAAGTGGATGAAAGCCCGTAACCTTCAAGAAACAATGCATTCTACGGTCCCTGATACTTACAGAAAAAGGACGTAAAATAATGCTTTTTCTTAAATTTTAATGGCTCTTGTAATTTATGGAGTTATAGTTTTCTCATTCTTGATGAGATGTCCTTTAAATTATTCTAGTAATTTAAAGCATGTTTTCTAATACATGATATTATGAAGAAGTTCACGTGAAGGTCAGGTTTTCATAAAGTATGCACTAAAACCTCGTGTCTATTGCTCTTTTGGATCAACTTCTTCACGTGCTGTTTATCGCTTGGTCAGCTTTCGACGACAGACAAACCTGGCAGCTGTTGCACCGTCTTCTTAAACCGTCTGCTATTTCTTATCACCTGCGGTTGGTGTACAAGAACGTTGGTAACTCTTGATAAGTGAGATCACGTCGATAAAATGGTTTTGGCTTGCAAAATGCACTGATTATGAGCGATTATTACGAGACATATTGATATTGTAAAGAAGAATATGGAATTTTTTTCTATACGAGAGAAAATGATTGGGCTTTTCAAAGTATTAAAAATCAGTAGCTATTGATCAAAGAATAGATTGACTCTTTGTTTAAAAACAGCTTTTATACTACGGTAGTTTAAGGAGAGTATACGTACTCAGTTATAGAATTTTGTCAGTATCAACAAATAGCTACAACCAAAGGAAATAACAAAAATTCTTGTCAACTTAGCTTTACAATATGAATTTTGCTTTCAAGTTGCTTTTAAAATGAGACTAAAATTATTCCAAATTCTAGAAAAGTTTTTGAAGTCACACTTATTCACTTTTTACATTTTTGTGCACCTACAACCCGTCCAGTCAAGAAAAAGGATTTTGAAGAAGAAATAAGGGCTTTGGTGTGCGAAATATACATAAATGCACAAACCAACAGCAAAAATTATAGTATTGAGCAAGGTATTTGCATTCGAAGATTGCTATCC